CCTTGTGCAACACAGGGGGTGCAATGGGCTGGGGGGGTGGGGAGGGGTGGGGGGCTGGTTGCAGACCCCCACCCTTCAAGGTCGAACCGGGTGGTCCATCGCAGTCCCAGTTCTTTCTCATTCGCATCGAGTGGTTTTTGGGCTGAAAGCGAGTGATTTTGGGGGCTGAGCCTTAGCCAGGGACATCGCTGACCTTGCCCTTGTCCTTGTCCCCTCTCCGGCTCCGGTGGGACAGGGTTTGTAGGGACATGACGCTGGTCCTTCTCTTCCCATAACCATGTTTCCCAAGCAGGACAACCTCTTTATTTCTCCTCCACCTCCCTTTTGAGGTTGGAGCTTTGTATTTGTAACGCTGGCCCCACGTCTTGGCTGTATCTTGGTGTTTTGGAGGGGTTTACGGGCTGTATTTTGGAGGGGTTTATGGGCTGTATCTTGAGGGTTTTATGCACAAAAGATCCTGGTGGTTGACTTCCCAGTAGGGATGGACTTGGGCAGGAGCAACCCACAACCCAGACCAGGGAACGGACTCACAGCTTGTTCCCCCCCCCAAAACAGGATTTCCCATTCCCAAACCTTGGCCAGATTGAGGAGGAGGCCGTGAAGAAGAGGAGATGCTACGAGATACCCAGCCAGGTGAGGAGGAATTTGCTCGACCTTTCATCCTCTCTCCTCCTCCATCCTCCAGCCGAGCATCGCTTCTGGCACGGATGCAAATCCCCTTCCTCTCCTTGTTCCTTCCTCCGGCAGGCGATGAGATGGGGACGGAGAACACAGAGGAGAAACCCCACCAGCAGAACCTTGCGGAAGAGGTTGTTCTGAAGGGCTCCATGGAGCAGGAGGTCAATGGGGAGGAAAAGCCAAGAAGATGCCCCTCGGGGAGAGGTTGCAAACCCACCCCACGAAGCTCAGAGGAGGAAAGACCGACCATCTGCGAGGAATGCGGCCAGAGCTTCAGCCGTAGCTCGAACCTGGTGGTCCACCAGCGGTTGCATGCCGGCGAGAAGCCCTACAAGTGCTTGGAGTGCGGGAAGAGCTTCAGCCGTAGCTCCCACCTCATCACCCATCAACGTCTGCACACCGGGGAGAAGCCCTACAAGTGTCCTGATTGCGGGAAAAGCTTCAGCGACAGCTCCACTCTCATCACCCACCAACGCTTGCACACCGGTGAGAAGCCCTACAAATGCCCCGATTGCGGCAAGGGCTTCAACCAGAGCTCCAACCTCACGTCCCACCAACGCACCCACACCGGGGAAAGACCCTACAAGTGCCCCGAGTGTGGGAAGAGCTTCAGCGTCAGCTCCTACCTGATCCGCCACCAGAAGATCCACACCGGGGAGAGACCCTATAAGTGCGAGGAGTGCGAGAAGACGTTCAGCCAGAGCTCCAGCCTCATCATCCACCAGCGTGTCCACACCGGGGAGAAGCCCTACAGATGTGTTGACTGCGGGAAGTGGTTTAGGAACAGCTCGGACCTCATTAGGCATCAGCGGACACATACGGGTGAGAGACCCTACCGCTGCCCTGACTGCGGGAAGAGCTTCAACCGCAGCTCCAACCTGATGACCCACCAACGCATCCATACCGGGGAGAAGCCCTACGAGTGTCCTGAGTGCGGTAGGAGCTTCACCGTGAGTTCTGCCTTGATTAAACACCAAAGGACCCACCGGGAAGGGAAGCCCTATGAGTGCCCCGACTGTGGGAAGAGCTTTATACGCTGTTCGAATTTCATTACCCATCGAAGGACCCACGTTGGGTAGAGACCTGGTGACCCATGTTGGGTAGAGACCTGGCTGGTGGTCCCCACATCTTCCTGGTTCCCCATAGGGACCTGGATGAATGTAGGTAGGAACATCCATTTGCTGAGATGGGCTTAGCTGTGGGACGCAGACCAAAGGCAGAAATTCATTAAGAAGAGTGGACTCATTGGCTTTAGACTCCAAAAAGTCACATCTGCTTGGCCCAATAATTTCTTCTGGTGGCATCAAGCAACACCATATGGACTGCAGGCTTCTTCCACAGCCAAAGGGTGAATGGATTTGGGCACAGACCAAGATTTTGAAGACACTGCTTGGGACTCAGCTTCTTTGGGAAGGAAGAAATGGAGTGAAAATGGTCCCACAACCCTGTTGGGACGCACCAGGCTGAGTTCTTCCTCATTTACAGGTTTGGGGTTTTTTTCACATGATGTTATTCAGTAGCATCATGCAACCACTGTCCTGCCCATCTACGGTTCATCTTTGGATGACTAAACTCTTGAATTGTCCAAAGGGCTTCAGAAGAGGCTCCTGCAACATCTTAGCGATGGAGATGGGCACAGCCCAACTCCACGTCCTACTCTCACTCCCTTTTTGCTGCCAAAAATAAACAAGAACTCAGCTGCAATAAACTTTTCCTTCACTCACTGCCTTGGTATGGCCTTGTTGAACCCACACCACCTCGTTTTCATCCAGGCTGGGGCTTGGCCATCTCTAGGGTTGAATTTTCCTAATGGTGCTGAAAGGATGGGAGTGGTGGGACAACTCCATGGATGGGTGGAGGGTGAGAAGGACACGTGGGCTTGTGGTGTCCATGTTTTGGAAGGATGCTGCACCCCTATGACCATCGGCACCAAATAAACCTCATCCATGGTTTGGTTTGAACCTTTGTCCTTGTCCAAGGGAAATGGAGAGGGATGGAAAGCCCGATCCCAGCTCCAGGGTCTCCACCCCAGCCCCACCACCCCTGCAGGGGCTTCCTGGGGGGGAGTCCTCACACCCTCTGGGTGCAGAAGATGCTCCCAGTCCCCAAAATTGGGGAATTTTTTAAGTTTTCCCCTCCAAAAAAGGCTCTACCACCCACACAGCCCCTGCTTTGTCACCACCACAGAGACACTCATACAATGCCAACACTGAAATGCTTTTATTTTGGCCGTGATTTTCTTTTGATCCATCCCCATCCCATAAAAAGACCCTAAATAGGGTTGAAAAAATAGAGAAATTGAACAGACATCTAAAAAACCCATTTTACCGTGATTTCTTTTTTCAAGGGTGAAGCTCATGGGTCTCGCCTCCCTCCCTTCCCCTCATCTATAATCTAACGCAAAAAACCAGAAGATGGGGGTGTCTTTTTTTAAACCACACCCCCAAAAAAAACCTTTTATATATAAAAACATATAGGGAAAGAAAAATAATAGCTGGTGGGATGTGGGTGGATGGGTTGGTTACCCCTTGGTGCTACCACCAGGGACCATGGTGATGTGTAGGTAGGTCTGAGATGCCACCAGGGTGGGGATGGTCCCTGGTGGGGTCATCCCCATCTTTGGTTGTTGCCTCTTGTGATGCAAGATGAGACCGGAGCTGTGCCGAAAGCTCTTGCCACACTCGGCGCAACCCTAAGGCTTCTCGCTGTGGATCTGCCGATGCTGGATGAGTTGGGAGCTGCAGGTGAAGCTTTTGGGGCAATCCAGGCAAATGTAGGGTTTCTGCTCCAGGTGGGACCGCTGGTGAACCAGGAGGTTGGAGCGATGGTTGAAGCCACTGCCGCAGCTGGGGCAGCAGTAATCTTTCTCACCAGTCTGCACCCATCAGTGCTTGGTGAGCCTGGGACGGTCGGAAAAGCTCTTCCTACAGGTTGGGTAGGGGTGCCTGTGCTTGGTGTGCGTCCGCTGATGCTGTGCCAGTTGGGAGCTGTTGCCGAAATGCCGCCCGCATCGAGAGCAATCGTAGGGTTGCTCTCTGGTGTGGGTCCGCCAATGCCGCACCAGCTCCGAGCTGTTCTTGAAGCTCTTGTGGCACTTGGGGCACTTGTAGGGCCTCTCCCCGAATGCACACAGTGATGGATGGTCAACGTTGATCTGTGCCTGAAGCTTGTCCCGCATTCCTCGCACCAGTAAGGTCGTTCGCCCGTGTGTGTCTTCTGATGTTGGTGGAGGGAGGAGCTGACATGGTAATTCTTCCCGCAATCGGGACAAGCGTAGGGACGTTCGCCAGTGTGCAGGTGTCGGTGGGCCGTCAGGTTGAAGTGGCGTCCGCAATCCTGGCAGCTGAAGGGTCATTCACCCATGTGTCTCCGATGATGGCTCACCAACACTGAGCGGCAACGGAAGCTCTTCCCGCATTCCTGGCAGGTGTTGGGTGCCTCATCGCTCCTGTTGTCCCCTGGAAGTGGGGATCCCCCAGGATGGGTCCTTGGGGACCACTGCTGGCTGGAGGTTGGGGGTTCCACTGGTGTGTCTGCTTGCTCAGGAGCGTCCTGCTGCCATTTTTCCTCCTCCTTGATTGACCCCAGATCTGTTGGGGAGAGAGACCATCCCCAACAGCCCTCTCCAGCTGGGAGGGGGTTAATGTGGAGCGGAGACAGGGAACCACATGAGTTATGAGGAACAATGGTCAGCCAAGAGCCGGTGGCCCCAGGAGAGGATCAAGGCTCCCAAGGTAGAAGCCACCTCGAGAAAGTTTGGGGACATGGTGGGTGAAGGGATGGGGACATGGTGGGAGAAGGGATGGTGTCACCGTGGCAGAAGGGATGGAGTCACGGTGGGAGAAGTTGGGGACATGGTGGGAGAAGGTTTGGGGACACAACACAGCACAAGAGCTCTACTTAGGGCCAAAGCAGCACCACCACCACCACACCTCCCCAGACTCTCGTCCCCACCAAAGCCACTTCTCAGCCACCCATCCAATCCCCTGCCTTGTCCCCAAACCTGGGGACTCTTACCCAGCGGGACCACAGTGTCCTCGTTCCTCTTCACAGTGTTCCCACAGCAGGCTGTTGGGACCGGGATGAGAGCTGCAGCATCTTCCTCTGTGGTCATCACCTCCATGGGGACAACCCTAAAGGGGACAACCCCAAAAGCCATCACCCCACTTTTTGGGGGGTTTTAGGATTTCTCCTAAAAATGGGATTTCTGGGAAAAAAAATTAAAAAAAAATATCGACGAGGTGGCGAGGAGGGTCGTGGGGGACGGGGTGAGGGGGGGAGTGGGGTGGGCTTGACCCACCATGGGGCATCACCGGGAGGATGACGGGATGCAGGAGGCTGGGCATCCCCCCATTGTGGGGGGTCATGGGGGCGTCCCCTGCACCCTGCAGTGCAGCCCAGCCCCACTGGGGGGGACCTGGGGGTTGTGGGAGGTCTCCTGGGGGTCTCCCACCCCCCAGTGCAGCCTGACCCCTCTCTGGGGGTCCTGGGGGTCCCCCCCAGTGCAGCATGGCCCCAGTCCAGGGGTCCTGGGGGGTTTCCCGGGGGTCTCCCCCCACCCCAGTGCAGCCTGGCCCTGCTCCAGGGGTCTTGGGGGGGGGTCTCCCAACCCCCACCCCCCCCAGTGCAGCCAGATCCTGCTCCGGTGGTCCCATGTGTGTCTCCCTGGATTTCCCCCCCATCCAATGCAGCCTGGCCGTGCTCCTGGGGGGCTCCCACCCGCCCCCCCCCCAAGATGCTCCTGACCTGGGAAGTGAATCCCCAGTTCAGAGCCACCTCCCACAGCTCCAGCCCTGCCTTAACCCCTCAGCTGCTGGCGGGGGGGGCGGGCAGTTTTGGGGGGTCCTCTGGCAGCCCTGCACCCCACAGGATGCTGGCTCTGAAATCATCCCCCCCACCCTAACCCACTAAGAAAATGGGGGGTAACCACCCCCCCCCAACTTCAGCACCCACCCGGGTGGGGGTATGAAGTATTTTTGGGGGGGGTGTGTCCCAACCTCCCAGCACCCAAAGGTTTCTCCATCACTTTGCACCCCAAAAGCCAAAAGGGATCAACCCGTCTACCACTTCATATCATTTTATTGAGTATTTTTTTTAATATAAAATAACCCCCAAATGGTATCAAACCTCAGGTTATTCCCACACCACCCCCCATCCCGGTTTTCCAGCCACCATGGTCAGACATTGATGCCGTGATGGGAAGAGCAGGGATTGATTTTCGGGTCTAAATCTCCCTAAAACAGCATTCTAGAGGAGAAAGGGGTTTTTTTTCACCTCAAAATGACTCAGTCCCACTTGTAGCCCCATTTCCCTTCAGCACTGGTTCAAAAATGCCCTCGCAAAATCACCCTAAAATACCCCATGGGGATGTCCTCCCCGCCCCCCCCCAAAAATAGCCAGGGTCCCATCCCACCCTGCCATGTCCCCTTTGTCCCTTGAGGAGGGTGTCACCATGATAAAGACTTTTTTTTGGGCCTTATTTTGGTGAAATAAAACCTAAAGATGCTTAGAAAAAACCTATTAGAATTAAAATATTGGATGGGAAGTGAAGCGGTTCCTGAGCCGACACCATTTCATGGTCCACAAGGAGCTGGGGTGACCTTGACCATCCCCCTTCATTTTCGGTGGTCCCTGATATGGGTCCGGTGATGACGGACGAGATCTGAGCTCCGGTAAAAACTCTTCCCACACTGGGCACAGCTATAGGGTCGTTCACCCGTATGGATACGTTGATGGGTCACCAAGTTGGAGCTTTGACTGAAGCTCTTTCCGCAATCGGAACACGTATAGGGTTTCTCTCCAGTATGGATACGATGATGGGTGATGAGCGTAGAGCTCTCAGTAAAGCTCTTCCCACAATCAGGGCAGGCGTAGGGTCGTTCGCCTGTATGGGTCCGTTGGTGAGATATGAGGGTCGAGCTGTCCGCGAAGCTCTTCCCACACTGGTGACACTGGTAGGGTCTTTCACCGGTGTGGACACGTTGGTGACGCATCAGCGAGCAGCTGTCGTTGAAGCTCTTCCCACATTGAGTGCACTTATAGAATTTCTCACCCGTATGGATCCGTTGATGCCGTAATAATGTCGAATTCTCGCTAAAATTCTTCCCACAATCCATACACTTATAGGGTTTCTCACCGGTGTGGATTCGCCGATGACGAATTAAAGCCGAACTCCACATAAAATGTTTCCCACAATCGCGACAGATGTACGGCATGTTGCCTATATGAAGGCGTTGATGTTGAACGAAATAAGAGCTGTCGCTAAAACTTTTCCCGCAATCGGGACATCTATAGGGTCGTTCACCTGTATGGGTTTTCCGATGTCGGATATGGGTTGAACGGATACTAAAACTTTTCCCGCATTCTTCACAAACGTAAGGTTTTTCCCCCGTATGTATTCTACGATGTTTAACCAACGTTGAACCGTGACCGAAATCCTTCCCGCATTCGGGGCACTTATAGGGTTTTTCGCCTGTATGGATCCGGCGATGAGCCGCTAACGCCGAATTCTGATTGAAGCGATCGCCGCATTCGGGGCATTTATAGGGTTTTTCACCCGTATGGATCCGGCGATGGGTTAATAAAGCCGAACTGCTGCCGAAACCTTTCCCGCACTCGTAGCATCCATAGGGGCGTCCGTGGGCTGCTTGTACCCCCAAACCCCCCGATTTGGCTTCTGCTGGGGGGGGTGTCGGTGGATGGGGGGGGTCCCCTCTGTCTGCAAAAGAAGCCACAGTGGGGTGATGGTGTCAGGGAAGGAGCCTGGGGGGGGCAGGGATGGCAGCCCACAGCCCCCCCCAAAACCCACCTGCGTGGGGGTCACCCCTCTCCTCCGTGTCCCAGTTTTGGGGAGCTGGTGGGTCCCTTCCCGGCTCCATCCGTGGGGGGGGGAGGGGGGGGGGGTGTCACATCAAACCTGCTCTGGGAGAAAATGGTGTGCAAGGTGAAAGGGGGGGGGGTTTACGCATGGAGTTGGAGCCCCCCCATCATCCTTACCCTGGCTTTAGGGGCTACACTGGCACCCCAAAACAGTGGGGTGGGGGTCATTGGGTGGTGCCATGGGTCTTAGACCTACCCCCCCGGGATGAGCTGGGGTCCCTTATCGCAGGCCCCCCATCCCTGGCTTGATTTGGGGGCCCCCCATCATAGCCCCCCACCGCCAGGATAAGTT